CCGGAGCTCAAAGTCAGCCCGAGCTCACTGAAACATACCGGTGTTGTTCTCCTAATACATTTTTATTACAAACACCAGTTCATCTTTGTAATGACGACACTGGCTGGAACTTTTAGAGCCAGCAGAGCTTGATATTTACAAAGACAGAGGTGGCAAAGGGTCCAAATCTAAGGAGCCTCTTTGCTAAAACCTAAATTTATGTTGTTTGGTAAAGGTAATCTAAATTCTGTAATAAAAATCACAATTATTGAAGCTGATATTGAAAGAGTGCATGAAAGATTATAGGCTCTGTTGGAAACAGTACAAATTATTTTAATAAAGGGCTAAATCGATGGCTATATTATATAAAACTAGAGATATTTTGAATCAAAGTCATTGCTCACTCAGACTTCCATACATGTGTGTAGAGATATGGGGAAACACCTACAAGACAAATGTCAAATCTTTTTGACAACAAAAAATAATTACATTATTATACTCCAGCTAATAAATGTTTTATTAATTCCCAGGCATAAAAATCCTTTGATTTTGTTCATTTTAAAACACAAAAATTATTGCAGAGGGTAAAAATCGGGACACTCCTGGGCTGTATTCAAAATGTATTCTTAATCAGGGAAAGCATACTGTGTATTGATTAATGGGAATTTGTATATTTGAAAAACTGTCTGTTGTAGGGTTAAAAAGGTTGGTTGGACTTGGTTAATGTGTACGTTTGATAAGAATATGTAGTGTGTACAGGGCAGGCCAAATAAGCTAAGCTTCAGCCTGTACCCTTTGGATCAAAGAGCATTCTGATTTTTTTTGACTGTATGTATAAAGAACAAAAAAAAACTATCTGTACTCATCATGCATTTTAAAGCAATATGACAATTATGGTTTGTCTCAGTCCTACAAAGAAGAGAAAATGCTATTTTTTAATTGGGAACATTTTTTATGACCTGGAAACAAGACAAACTTCTTCAGCGCTTATCAATAATGAGTCATCATCATGCTTTAAACTATTAATGATCAATTTCTTGAACACAGCTGTAATACAGCTAGTGCTTTTTCTTCAGTTTGACAACAGATTATTGTAAAAATACACCCTGAACTTCTAAATTAGTCTGGGATAACCTTGTTAGTGTGATACAGTGCGAGTGTGTGTTAACCATTTTAGACAACACACAGATTACGTTCACGGATCATGCACACATTACACACGCCTCATTGAGACTTAACTCTTCAGGACAATGACCAACTGAACTGCTGTTTTTTGTGACACACAGTTGAATAGAATAATTGTTTTGTTTAAAGTTAACATCCTTTGAAGGTCTGTGGAAGACAACAGGCTAACTCTGTGGTGTCCAGTGCTAACAGTTTAAATAGCTAACAAACCTTTTTCACAGCGTTTACATTTAATAAAAATATTGTTGGGACCTTAAAAAAAAACCCAGAATAATACAGGAGGCACAGGGTCCTCTTTATCTGGTGCAGCTAGCCTTGGATTATTATTCAAGTAGCATTAGCTAGCTAACTTTGCTAGCGTTAGCTGAATGTTACCCACTGTATCTAGCAAAAAAAATCTGTTGTTATAAGAGCGATACTACAGCAGCATCCAGTATAAATAACAAACCTGGCGCAGTGTTATGTATTCAGATGTATTTGGACTTTATGGTGGTTAAACAAGAGTTTCACTTCTTCTTCTCAACTAGTCTCAGAGCCAATAGCTCCATTGTACTAAATGCTGTTACTGAAAATAGTGAAATTAATGAAACGTGCTATAATAATTTCCCATATTTCCAAAACACGGGAATAAAACTTTCGCTGCCTCCAGAATTTAAGTTGTTAAACAGAAAATGAAAAAAAATCAAGCTCACACTTATTCAGAATCTAATTTATTAGAATATGAATACCTAGATAATATTTTCTATGATCACAATTGATAGTTTTCTAGCATGATTAACTGACAATTTTTCATAGGCTTGCTAGGCATAAAGAAAGTGATAACATATTTATGGTCTACTAATTTCATTCACAAACTTAACTGTGGTCCAGTGTGAGGTCTAAATTCAACAAAGACATTCCAACAGAAACAAAGTGAACACAACGGCACAGATCCAAACAAAGAGCCCTGCGAGACACCAGACAACAGCTGTGAGACGAAGAGAGTGAGCGAAGCCTCTCCGGAAGGTTCACACCTCCAGTCTTGATTCATAACAACTGCAGTCAAGCCTTTCTCTTATTCAGTTACTAGCAACATGAGGTGCTGTTAATTGAAGAATCAGTGTAAAACTACACACAACGGCTACAGTATTGTTAATCTTGGCTGAGGTTACCGAAGTACTGACAAACGTTCAAGTGTAGTTATGAGTATCCACGCAGATATACTCCACAACACAGTTTCACTACTGTTGTAACAATAAGGGTGGCTTTACTGATACACAATGCTTATTGCTTTCAAAAATTATTATATATAAAAGAAACTGTGAATGTATTTTATCAGTACTCCTTTCTCTTAGTTCCAATCACCCATTGTCCCACCAAAAAAAAAAAAACACACATGAAAATCTAAAAACCTGAATCTGAGTTATAAAACCACTGAGCAAAGTTATCAACACACACTCATGCAAATGCAAACAATCTGATTAGAGACAAGAATAAAACTAACTAACAACTTCACATAAAAGATTCCAGATTGATGCAGTGCGCAGCAGACTGTATGGTAATGTGCATAATATTCAACAGGTGCCTCCAGGAATTTAATGAAACATGCATTTACTTGATGCTTGCTCACTATTGCAACATTTCCCTGGGTCTTTGGCTTCTACGGAGACCGACGTGATGATGATGATGTGCCGTGAGAGTGAAGAGAAGACCTAGACAGGCACTTAAACTACTTGGATACTGTAATATTTCCCAAACTTGTACAGCTGTTTTACATACAGGTTTAGCTAAAGGACTGCGGAGTATTATAGACAATGACAACCACGTTATGCTAGTGTATCTTCTCCTTAAGTATTCCGTTAAAGAATGTAATATAATCCTAAACAGAACCATAACGTTACAGCAAAACCACCATCATACATACATTTTAGTGTGTCAAGTGTTACCTAGCTGTACTCTGCTAGTACAGCTACTCTGTGTTTTTGTGGCCTTTATAAAGCCACATGTTCAGACCATTGATATATGATGGACATGGCATCACCGCTTCCCTCCACTATGCAAAAATGAAACCAAAAATCGTGAATATGCCGGCTGCCATCTTGCTTTTTTGCAACCAGATTCTGCACAGTAGTGACCAGAAGTGGAGTGTAGTATTAAAAACAAACTTAACAAAACAATGACCACTCTCAAACACATCAGTGTGATAATATCTACAAAAAACAAAGGGAGTCAGTGGGGTTTATGATCCATACTGCAGCCAGCCACCAGGGGGAGATAGAGTCACTGTGGTTTCGCTACTGATAGATCTTAGCCTGTACGCCATTTTTATAGTTAATGTTTCAGACACATTTAACAGCTTCAACACTAAAATAAGTCATATATTATACTGTCAGCAATATAAAATGAAATGCGTTAAAAAGTCGTTTGTGACAATGTTTTGTAAGTGTTACTGTTTATAGAGTCGATTAAAGGTAAAGTTGAACATTAGGGGAAACACACTTACATGAAAAGATTGACACCATTCTTATGTCTGTTTAAAGCCGGTGTTGTTCCATTTACAAAAAGTCACAGGGAAAAATGTAAATAAAGCTTTCAATCAAAAAAACAGACAACTTAATAACTGTACATACATAAATAAGCTATTATAACTATCAGCTAAGTTGTACTGATGATTTTTTAACCAAAACGTTCACTTTTATTCATTTTTTCAGTGTCAGATTTTGTAAATGAACTAAATGTGCTCTTTTTTGCATTTGACAACCTTTTATACTTTGTTAAACTGCAGGTAGTTTTTCTATGAATGGCTCTGTCCAAAAGTAACACAATCCACTTAGCAGCACCAAAATTTTACATGTAAAAATGAAACAAACTATATAACTAAATACCAAACGAGTTGTTTTGCAGGTAGTTTGTCTTTCCTCATGCTAAGCTAAGCTATGCTACGCTAACCAGCTGCTGGCTGTCACTTCATATTCGGCTTACAGACCTGGGGTATCAATCTTTTCATCAAACTTTCAAAAAAGTATTTCCCATAATGTCAAACTACTCCCCATAAGGGTTTCACAGCCGTTTATGATACCAATTGGTGTAATGTCTGTTATGCTCAGAGAAACAACTTGATTAACATGAATTAATTAGCTTGTGCCTAATCTTTATCATGGTATCTTGTTAACTGCCTTTTATCCCACATCTTCATACCTGGGTAGTCACGTGTCATAAAAGTATCATATATCATGTTCAAGTTAACTATGCTCTGTGGCTGTGCTTCATAAAATATGCATTCATAAATAAAACATTCACTGAGCAGTGCAATCATCAAACATCACATGAAGGAATGCAGGTGGCATGTAGTTCCCTAAAAACATAAAGCAAACACACCGCTCATGTGTGACAAATAAAAAGAACATAGTTAAAAGAAACAAGGCACAAACTTTATACAAAAAAATGCCTTTCTGACAGACACACTGGAGGTACCCTAGCTCTGTCTGTCACTGATTAAAGGTCAGTACTAAAGGCTCTTTGTTAAAGCAACCTGAGAGGGGTCCCTTTCATCAGCTGACTTCAGGTGAAGACTTCCATCCTTCTGATGCAATTAAAAGTGGCTTCCAAATGCTGAAAGTAGCAGTCACAGTGAGTAAAAAAGCAACATTTTCCCATCACTCCCAAAGGTGTTTGTTGACCCTGTTAACTGCCAGTCCTTGCCTTGTAGAGAAAGGCAACAAAAAAAGGTTTGAGTATCCACTGACAAACCGAGACTGCTGCCCAGCTCCCATAGCACAAAAGGGGACGGCGGAGGCAAGCAGATGGATTCTTTGAGTGTGCATACAGTGTTTCATCTTGGCAGCCCCTACCGACCCCTACTCTGCCGGCCTACACGGGGGTTCGGGAGTGGTGGCAAAAGGGGGTGGTTCGTGTTTTGTGGGCGGAATGAGCCAGAGGAGCTTCCAGCGAGTGCCACACACTTCGGCAAGTGCCCACTGCCAGGATCTCTTTGAGCCATATCTGCCAAGAAAAACTGGCAGTTATTTGTGATCAAGTGTGTGTAATTAAAGCATTTAAAAACATCTTCAGAAATGTGCTTCTTTGGGACTCCACATATGTATCTGTCTGTTCAATATAAAGCTGAAGCTGCAAGCTTAGCTTAGCATAAAGACCAGAAGCAGTAGGATATTTTATAACTTTTGGACAGAGCCAGGCTAGCTGTTTCCACCTGTTTCCAGTCTCTGTGCTAAGCTAGGCTAACCTGCTGCTAGCTCCAGCTTGACGTTTAATGGACAGATATGAAAGTGATGTTGATTTTGTCAGCTAACTCTTGGTGGTGGTGCCCTACTTCTGGTATTAGAGCAGAATGAGTTAAGCAGACTCACATTTCATTTGAGAAATGAGCCATTTTCTCTATGGTGGTAGTATCCTGCAAGAAAAAGACAGGACAGGACAAAGCAAATTGAGCGTATCGTTACACAAAATAAGCTCCATCATGATGACTCAAGTGTCACATGATCAGTTGAAAACATGAGTGACATGAATGTAGTTCTCTGTATCGTGCTGTTGACAACTCCATCAATCAAAAACTTGTTTCCCACCTCATCACAGACATTTCGAACATTACAGCTTTGCTAAAATTCTTGACAAAAGCTGGTAAATGACTTTGGTTTGTCATCCCTTAAAATCTTGCAGGTAAACATAGTCAAGGACAGAACATTCAAGCACACTTGCATCCACACTCTTCCACAGCCTGACCACAGACTTTCACTTGAGTCTTCTCTATTGATCACTGCATTACTGGTATTGATTGTTTTATTTCTGTGTACTATCTGAGGAGTAGTGTGCTGCTGCCTTGCTCACTAGATCATTTTGAATAGACAAAACTTGCTTTCATCCTGCTAATTGGCACTGCAAATAAGTGCCATCATCACCATTTTTCAGATCCTACAAAGTGACACTAAACAGTTACAAGAAGATCAGAACCAGCTTTATTGGCCAGGTGTGTTGGACACATGAGGAATTTGACTCTGGTACAGCGGCTCTCAGTGTGCGTGGACATGCCCTTCAGTAAAGCACTGAGTAGACAAGTAAACAAGATAAGGCTGAGAGAACAAAAAAAGAAAAGAAACAGAATGTGCAAACATCACATTAGCAGAAATGCAGCAGAAAACATGTCATAAAACAAGATAATAAGTCCTCTAGTCATTAGTCAGTACTCACAGACAAGATGCCGGTCACCTGGGTGTAAAACAAGCTCGTCATGCCACCAAACATGACCACACCCATGAGCGCTGAGACTCGCAGTAGCGCCAGTTCATGACGAGTTGTAAACTTCTCCTGGCAAAGAAAACCACAAGGGCAACCCTATCTTAAAGCTCCAAGTGATGACTTTTTCACAGTAAAACATTAACTTTTGTATTTCCCCAGTGTTGCAGCAGACTCAGTATCAACGCATTTAGGCCAGTTATTGTCAACAGTGAGTACTTATTCATATATGCATAAACGTATATGTTGTCAGCTGAGGAGGAGAGCGTACCTGGTCTAGTTCTGACAGTGGCTCGAAATAATAGTACTGGCAAAAATCCAACACCACTGTGAACAAGCTGAGGACCTGAGTGTAGAAACAGAGCTGCAGGAAGAGCCAGTGGTTGTCTTCCCCTACACAGTTATTAATCCTTGAAATAAAGAAAATCCAGTTAGCAAAACATCTTGTATAGTGTGTCCCAGCATTAGACGTGCATCATCTGATATGATCTGATCTGGAGTCTGGACTGAATTTGCAGAAAGACAATATTTTGTGCAAAAATATTTGACAAGTTAAACAAGCCGTGCAGTGCATGTGTGATATGTAAGGTGAGAGCCTCATGACCGTGTGTGCATCCTTACCAGGGACAGTGGTGGTCCATCCTGCGGACACAGTGTCCGCAGCGACTGCAGTGGTGGGACCTTTTAGGTCTCATTAGATTGCACTTATTGCACAACTCCCAGTGTTCTCGTTCTGTGACGTACAGACAACAACCAGTAGAGTTGCTAACAGATGACAAAGTGACACCTTGTCTCCATTATGACAATGTTCAGTCATGTAGAGGTATAAAGATTTACAGATATACAGTAAAAACAGGCACAATCTGACACACTGTGGCAGTAGTAACTGGAAAATGTAGGCTTAAAATGAGCGGTAAAAGAATCAGAATAGTGAGGTGGGATTCTCTGTATCAATACCAGAGTGAGGTATGTGGGGGTCCACAGGAAGACGACCGGGATCTGCAGTGGAAGCTCTGAAGAGGGCCACTACGCAGAGCGCTGATGCTACGTAATAACCTGAAGGAATAAACCTTTTATTCCATTTTAAGGATCCACACACTTTCAATCCAAAGCAATTGTGCTAAAATTCTTAAGGCAACAGTTTAGACACTTATTTTGTAAATATCTCATCTGATACTGAATTGATACAGTGAAAACAAAGACACTCACAAACAACAATGGCCCATGGGATGTGTCCCTCATTGTAGTGTGGAAGCAGAACCAGCTTAGGAATGAAGACGGAGTTGTAGAGCCAGATCCCAACGCTGATGCACAGCCATCCCATGGGGTCCACCACAAAGTGCAGTCGAAGCTTCATGGCTGCCGGGACTCCAGGGACAACTACAGCGTACAAAGCGCACATGGTGGATGTTTGGTAAAACAGATCCAGAGAGGAGGCACTGACTTGACCCCTACTCTCTCTCACACGTTTCATGACCTTGATCTACATGTACTATAGTGGCTGTTATCTGTTACCATGTGCTTCAAATGAATAATCTATGAGAAAACAGTGACTTTTTGTCTAAAACTCTGCTACGTGAAAGTGAAACATGTGCATTGATGATGACCCAAAACAAAATAGATACAATTATCTGACATATTTTCTGAAAATGGCCATGAGCTGAAACCCCCATACAGGCCTCGCTGTGTTATAAAGCAGGTGCCTCAGCCTTAATTGTCTGACAACATCTTAAACAGATTTTAACATCAGCAGTATCTGCTAACCTAACATGGTCTAAACAGCCCTCATACCCCTGCTAGTAAGCGCTGCACCCCTTGTTATTGTAAAACCTGGCCGGCTCCATCATTCATACCACTGATACCACTGAAACCAGTGACAGCCGAGTGATGGGCTGGGCTCTGATGCCCCACTGTGTTAGCTAATATCACGGAACTCGCCCATGGTTCATATACAATTCACACATTAGCGCGTCTGGCGACACGCACAGTTTCTTTAACCTAAAAGGAAAAGACACCTACTTTTTGTAGCTGTTCTGGACAGTGCACGTACGGTGTCGGCGGAGCTACTTCCTCATCCGAGCCTCTGTGGGCTGGACAAGACCAGCACAGCACACATCCGCTTGTCTTTCAAAATAAAAGACTTTCGATATGTGTGTGTGTAGTAATAAAACAATAATAATAATAATAATAATAATAATACAACAAAACACGTTTAATTAAAGGAGTAAAGTAACGATTTACTCCATGTACTGTACTTAAGTACAATTTGGGGGGTTTTGTACTTTACTTGAGTATTTCCATGTTCTGTTAATTGATATTTGGACCACTACATTTTAAAGGCAAATATTGTTACCGCACTACATGTAGGCCTGTTTGATACATTTAGTCCATTTTCAGAATCAGATGAATAAAACAAAATACATGTACTCATAAGACTCCCCGGTGAGATAGTCACAAGCTACCCAGCAGTATATAAAGTACTTCATATTAGCTCCACTGTTAATATCTGCAGCATTACAGTGGTGAACACAATATTGTGTAAATAACTATAATGGAATAATATAATTCTCATTCATATGAAATGTGCCATTCTGCATAATGAGCACTTTTACTTAGACCATGGTATTGCTGCTGTACATAAGCAATCTTTTGGCACTACTGCATTTATACATGATAAGCAGCTCTCAGATGAGACAGAGTTGTATTTAATTTAGATATTTATTTTATTTGAAGCTATTTAACGAAACAAGTAAAACATAATATAAATTGTCTACTATACTAGATACATAACACATAAATTGATATAAATATCTGTATAGCCTACAGAGCAGACAAACATTAAACAAATGTGTATATTAATTGATTAAGCAATAAAAATAAATTAATCTGTACAAAGTTTGATCATTATCACTCTACCAATTCAGTCAGATTTGAAGCAAGAAAACCACACTGACTCTAACTTCTGCAATGTTAAGATTTGCCTTTTTTTCTTTTTATATTGTCTGTACTTGTATATACAGTTCCACTAAAACACACATTAAATATTAAAAGTCTGTCTATCTATCTATCTGCTCAAAAGACGTGATGCAGTGGTTTTGCACACTATCTGCTCTTTTAAATTCACATATAAATACAATATTTTGCAGCAGGTGGTTGTTTCAGATGTACTTTTGTATCATTAGGAAAGAAACTGGACTCTTGGGGGAACATGATGGGTGTGGTGTGAACATGATGGGGACACCGAAATCATTGTAAGCTCTTTTCTCTCTCGCTGAAAAATGTATGTTTTTATTCTAACGCCAGGTTCCCCAGTTTCCTTGTTAGCTCCTGGCTCTTTACGATGGCTTGACGCAGCTTTTGTGGACAGGTAGGCGGTGGACTCTGGAGCGCAGTGCACCACGGCAACACGAGAGCAGTCTGCTGCCGCCTTGTGGTCAAACCTGGATAATGCACGTGGAGACAGTCTGTTGTCTTCCCTTCTGAGAACTTTTAATTTTTTTCCGAGCACACATTCTCAGTGGCCATGCTTTGAACCTACAGCCACACTTTTAAGTTATCATTAAATTAGTATTCTGATAATAATTAGAACGATGCAGTTACTGACAAGAAATGACGCAATTCAACTTCCGCTAGCATTAGCGGCTGGTGTTTATTGATAGCAGCGCCAGTTATCATAATACTACTGTGGAAGTTTCGTTGTGTTAACGGGTTGAAATGGCATCCTCTAGCTCGTACAAACTCATGTGTTCCATCCCGGGCCATGAAATGGACATCCGGGGGATCACGGCTGCGGTTTTTCCAGAGGGGGCTTTGGTGTCTGTATCCAGAGACCGGACCGGAAGAGTCTGGGTGCCGAACTCAGGGTAGTTAGCATTAGCTTCCTACTGATTCATTGTGATGGTTGGCTGCGATTATTTCGATTTATAAGTAGCTCTTTGGGAAGGAGAAGTGCTCTGACCAAGAAGGGAAGAAAGCCAAACCACACCCAGCTTGTTAAAGTTATTTACTACTTACAACTTCGTCTTAGCGTTGGTGCGTTAGCTAGTACGCGCATTGCTATTCAATTTAGCTTTGTCATTCGTTCAGCTGAAACTCCCAGTGTACATAGCGCGGATGTTTGAGTAGTTAAGGAAGTTCACAAATGTTTTTGTCTGTCGTTTAATTAACCTAGCCTCATTCTAACTGTCATCCAAACACGTGTTCCCACTCCAGTAACTCTGGTCACTGATCACGTCATTACCCTTTTCTCTCCTCTTGACAGCCCTGACAAAGGTTTCACAGAGATGCATTGTATGTCTGGCCACTCAAACTTTGTATCTTGTGTGTGCACCGTTGCACCAAGTGAAGCATATCCTCGAGGACTTATTGCCACAGGTGGAAATGATAATAACATTTGTGTTTTCACACTGGACCAACCACAGCCCCTATTCACTCTCGAGGGTCACAAGAATACAGGTGAGACATTCTGTGTTGTACAACTCTGAGTATTTAAACATGTCAATTAGTATCTCACTTGAAACTACATTGTGTCTGGTGTCAAATGTGTTACACTTAATCTTTACAGTTTGCAGTCTGTCATCTGGGAGGTTTGGGACACTTCTTAGTGGCTCCTGGGATACCACAGCCAAAGTGTGGCTCAGTGAGAAGTGCATAATGACCTTGCAGGTATGCTGATGCTTCTGTGATGGCAGATCTTTTAAAAGAGGTGGCTAGTCAACATTTGGCTTCATTGATACTGCGTGTAACTGACATTTAGACCTTTACAGTATGTTTTGGCTTTGGTTTAATATATTCAGCTGTAACAAGTGGCAGTAAGGCTTGTGACAGAGCATATTCTCTGCTTGTTCATTTTGCTACAGGGTCACACTGCAGCAGTGTGGGCAGTGGTCATATTATCTGAACAAGGCCTTATGCTGTCTGGATCAGCAGATAAGACCATAAAGCTTTGGAAAGCTGGCCGATGCGAGAAGACATTTACAGGTGAGTACTTGCAGGTGTTTAACATAGGTAAATAAATACTGGTCATCTTTGGTTTTGTTCTCAGGTGTAGTTAACATAAGCAGTATACCCCACCAATATGCTCCATCCCCTCACAACCCTCAAGGATAAATAGAATAGCTGTCAGAAGGATTGACATGGTATCATTTCTTGCTGATAACTGGACACTGAAATAATTGGATTAATGTCCTCAGCCATTATATTTCAAAACACTTGTGGGATTTTCAAGTGTTCTTGGGTTCACATGACATGACTACAACTGTCTTTTTTTCTTCCATTCTAGGCCATGAGGACTGTGTAAGGGGACTGGCAGTGATCAGCAGCACTGAGTTCTTCTCTTGCAGCAATGATGCCAGTATCAGAAGGTGGCTGGTGACAGGTGAATGTGTGCAGGTCTATTACAGCCACACCAACTACATCTACAGCCTAGCTGTCTTCCCCAATAGCCAAGGTTTGTTCTCCTATATTAAGATTTAAATGCCCATATGAGAGTCTAGTAATGTGCATGCGTTATCTACTGAATTAGCACCCACCTATTTTCCTGCTGGTCCTAGTTGACCCTGACCGAGCTTTCTTTTCCATCAGATTTTGTAAGCACAGGAGAGGACAGGACTGTGAGGATATGGAGGAAGGGGGAGTGCTCTCAGACCATTCGCCTGCCTGCCCAGTCTGTCTGGTGCTGCTGTATTCTACCTAATGGAGATATAGCTGTTGGGGCCAGGTAACAAGAATTGAATTTGGCAAGCTTTGTCCATAATCATTTCTCCTTTTGTCACGCCATAAGGGTTTAAACACCTTTTTCCACTGCAGTGTTTCCTATACACCACCATATCAATATGTATGACTGTACATATTGGTTTAAAATAGGCCAAATCTTATTTCATTTGCCAAGGTTACTAGCCTGCTACTACTGCTTTTAATAAAAAACAATTGCGTACCCCCCAGCTACTGCCACAGGTTGAATCTAATTCTGTGGAAAACACTGCACTCTTCTTCCTCATTGCATTTCTGAGATGTTGCGGTCGCACAGTGGTGATTTTCAGATGAACAGACAAAAGTAAATAGTTTTGTGGGGCAACTCTCTTCCTACAGTGATGGCATTATCCGTGTATTTACGGAAGCTGAGGACCGCATGGCCAGTGCACAGGACCTACAGGCCTTTGAGGATGAGCTGTCCAAGGCCACCATCGACCCCAAGACAGGTGACCTTGGAGACATCAATATGGAGGATCTTCCTGGAAGGGAACACCTTAATGAGCCTGGTAATAAAATAGGCTGATGTTTGTTTTTCTCATATATAAAATCACTGTGTCTGGTCATCTCACAGTTCAGTCTGATAATGAAAAAATGCCATGCTTTTTCTGCATCAAGATGGTTTTGTTTGCTTGTTTCTTCCAGGGAATCGTGATGGACAGACGCGGCTGATTAAAGATGGGCAGAAGGTGGAGGCGTATCAGTGGAGTGTCAGTGATGACCGCTGGATGAAAATCGGAGATGTGGTCGGAGGCTCAAACCAACAGACGTCCAAGAGCGTGATGTATGAAGGAAAGGTACGGCCACAAGCCGACTGACAGGGCAAACAATGGATGCATGTATGAGAACAGTCATTAATGAACTGATGTTCCTTCAGGAGTATGACTATGTCTTCTCCATTGATGTGAATGAGGGAGGGCCGTCCATGAAGCTGCCTTACAACATGTCAGAGGACCCCTGGCTGACAGCGCACAACTTCCTGCAGAAGAATGACCTTAGCCCCCTGTTCCTTGACCAGGTCGCCAATTTTATTATAGAGAACACCAAAGGTCATGTGGTGGGTCCAGCCCAGCCTGCTGTTGGTGACCCATTCACTGGTGAGGACAGAAGATGGACACTAGGGCTTGTTCAGAAGCAGTCGATTTTATCTTGTTGTTACAGTGTTTGAGGTGTTTTGTCTTCCTCTGACAGGTGGGGCTCGGTATATCCCCGGATCTTCTGATGATAGGTCAGCCTTTGGAGCTGATCCCTTCACAGGTACAGTGTGTTTACCGAAAGGTTTTTTCACAAACTGAGCATTAGCATGTATGTTATTTTCATAGTGGTTTATTTTTTTTATCCACAGGTTCTGGCCGCTACATCCCAGGGTCTGGTCCAGTGCCAGATGCTCATGGTGGTGTGGCAGATCCCTTCACAGGTGAGCCGCATACGGAGGGAACAGTGTAAACCTCATTTTAATGGATAAAACAGGACATGAGGAATAGACCCAGCAGAAACTGAGGCCAATGTCACTTGCATGTCTCAGTTGTGTAACACTTGTTGGTTCTTGCTTCTCCCTACTTGGCAGGTGGAGGCGCCTACTCCTCAGCAGCCCTCAGACAGATGACAACCAACATTTACTTCCCCAAGACTGATGGTGTGACCTTTGAGCAAGCCAATACCTCACAGATCATCAGTAAGCATTTTAAGTATGGGTTAAATGATGTGCCACTACAAACATCATGAAGACATGCTGTTCATGTATTTCCTTTCAGTTATGTAAACTGTACTAAAATGTATAAGTTGACCAAGTGCTGATTTTCTTTTTTTTTTCTTCTTACATTGTTCATTGAATTTTCCTTTCTGTGTGAGGAGTCATTGCTTTGTTCTCTTCTTACCAGCCAAGCTGAGGGAGCTGAATGGAGGTGCTCCTACAGAGCATAAGCTCTCTGAGGAGTTCCTGGAAAGCCTTGAGCAGCTCCTGCTGTCTGTTTGTGGGCTGAACTCCTCTGAACCTCCACCAACCATCCAACAGATCAACCTGCTCTGGAAGGCCTCTCACTGGCCTGAAGGTATGACATTCTGACCCGGTTTTTTAATTTCATTGTGTTCTTGTTCATTGACTTGTTTTCAATGAACAAAAACAGAAAAAGGAACATGATTTAAAGGCTCTTCAGTTCATTACTTTTCACTAATCAGACTCTACTTTTCTCCCCCTTGGATTCTAGACATTGTGTTTCCTGTCCTGGATATTATGAGACTGGCGGTGCGCCACCCACAGGTTAACCAGAGTCTCTGTGGAGAGGCTGAGGGTGTCCAGCTGTGCAACCACCTGTTAAACCTGATGAGGCCTGAGGGACGTCCTGCCAACCAGATGCTGGCACTGCGGATTCTCTGTAACTGCTTTAGTGGCAGGCATGGCCGAGCCCTCCTCATGGCACAGCGTGAAATGGTGCTATCACGTTCTGCTGAACTGTCTACTGTCTGCAATAAGAACATCCACATTGCCTTGGCCACTCTGGTGCTAAACTACGCTGGCTGCCTGCACAGCCAGCCTGATCTTGAGGCCAAGGCCCAATGCCTCTCTGTGGCTAGCAGAGCTCTGGAGACTGTAAAAGACAAGGAGGCTGTGTTTAGGCTGCTGGTGGCCTTGGGAACTACTGTGGCTTCAGACCAGACAGCCCAGGACCTGGCTCGCTCCTTAGGGGTCAGCTCTCAGATTTCCAAGTACTCATCAGTGTCTGATCCATCTAAGGTGGGTGACTGTTGCCAGCTGGTTTTAAAAGAACTACAATGATATGTATTATTAGAAAAAAAGCACTTATTTCTTATTATTACCATGTTCTGCTTAATTGTGGTGGAGACTAAAATAAATGTATGATCCACAATAAAAAAAATAGTATAGATGAAATCTCTGTGTTTTATTACTGTGTTCCTTGACCAAATTTGGCAAATGGAAGTTGAATGCATGCAATGATGGCTTATTAGTGTGTATGAAATATTAATGACACAATATAAAGTCAAGTCTATTTCTAGTCTCCAACGTTCAATATGATTTCCCACTGCCATGGAAATAAAGTGAACAGGAGAAAAACAGCTCTGGTGAGGGGCCTGACTTTGACCTGACTTTCTATAAAAACTATTTATTGTGCTTTCTGTTTACTAAAACAGTAATTTTCAAATCTTGAAAAGCTTGTCTTCCACTACTACTATTGGTGGGATAGTGTAGAACCAGTTTATCTTATTAAACATCAAATTAAAAATAAGAGGGGCCACCTCTGTCTTGGAAAGTAACTGTTTAAAAGTCAAATATAGAGGAAGATATCATTTCAAGACTGAGATATGAACAAACCAGACTAATTAGTACATTGTTTCAATGATCAAACATTATTGTGGTTTAAACGAAACAATAGAATGTATTTAAGGAATGCCCAAGATATCAAGAGAGAGCATATATGATACATTACAAATAAACTCAGTGAAGTGTGCTATAGCAGTCATTTGTTCTTTCTTTTAGTTTAAAAAGGTTGCTAGACAGGTTTTCTTGATCCATGCTCCTATCTAGAAGGTGGTGGTAATGCACATTTTGCAACATGACGTTTCGACCAGTCAGCATCGGACAGTCTTAGGGCATTTCGTACGTTTCTCAACAATGAGGAGGAATTTGACTCTGGTACATCGGCTCTCAATGTGCAAACAGTAAACCAGCATAAGGCTGTAATATAACAAAATAAGCACTAATAACAGCAACACTGACGGCAACAACATGGATTTTACGTCTCTGATAGTCATCAATTTCTGTAACTAGGGCACCTATTCTATCCCTCACATGAAAATATGTGCTTGCAAAATTACGTGTGGCAAAAACAAGACCAGCACATTTCAAAATAAAAGTGTTATCTTACCTTTACTGTAATCATTCAGTTTTTAGATCGGGAATTCACAGTCCACACAGATCAACTAAATTTGGTAAAGTCCAATGTGCAGGAGTTATGTGTAAAAGGCTCCTGCTCACCTTTTATTATTGCTGGCAAACGTTGATCTGTGCAGTCCGACATGGAATCCAGCAAGCCAGTTCGGACCATCTGCTCAGAATTCAGCCAATTCTGAAGGTCACGGCACCAAGTTGTAATACCCCAGTTATTTTATTGGACAGATCTGAGTAAGGAAGGAGTCCGTCTTTCTTGATTTTAGTGCTGGGTTATTTAAAAAATGTATAAATACAGATTACAGAACACAATCCAGGTGGCTCTCTTCCTCAGACAAGCTGCTGGAGAAGAGAGCTCGCTCCATAACACAGAGCCTAATACATTTATAAGGTTTTGGGCTAACCCCTTACACAAACAGATATAGAAATATCACAGGTTGGAGACAGTCCGACGTCTCCTTCTCTTATCTTATGCTCCACATGCGTCAAGCATTAATCAGAACAAATGAAGAACTCCATGTGTGTGCATGTTGTTACGTGGTGTGTAACTAAAACAATCATTCAGACATAAATCTAACACAAAATTAAAACAAGAAAACAATGGATGTCAAGATACACTTTACATATTTAACATCATCTTCTAACCTTGAAGCAAAGCAGACTAGAGCAGACTTCAAATATTACTAACTGCGTTACCAACTGATGCTGCCCCGGGCGTCAGAGGGTGGTGTGAGCAGCCCGCTGCTGCAACGGGCCAGAGGCAACAAGCAGGTGGAGTACCTGGACCTGGACCTCCACACTGGGTGACTGACACCAACAAGACAGGTAACACTGCTCTCTCCTTGGTGTCATGTCACACACATTACAAAACAGTTCTATTGTGAGGCTTTCTCTAAAAATCATTGTTCTTGTCTGGTGGGAGTTGAGCCACTAGAGGGCGCCAGGTCTGGACTGTGTTCCTGTAAATCATGTCAACACTTCATGTGTTTAAATATTTTACATTTGTTCTTTGACACTCACTGTACGTATCCTCTGTATTATGTTTACAGTTTAGTAATAAGTATGTTCTGCTCTCACTGGCTGCATCACATCTTTTACTAACGTTTCTCACAGTGGATCGTTGATTAATTCATGTAACAAGTAAAACTTTTTCTGTATCTGCACATCTAGAAACTCTTAAAACTGTATAAATTAGATCAAACCTTAAATATTAAAATATTTTAAAGCATGACACATTCGATAAAACCTTAAATATTTTAATTATTACTTAAAAGCTACAATTACATGACAAATAGCAACATGCATGCGCATAGCTGTGGTAAACTGAGTTCTTTGTACCCCTTCAGTCTTCCCAACACTAGCAAGCAAAATTTATTTTTATAGCACCTTTCTGAACCTATGTTACAAGGTGCTTTACAATAAAACATAAAAAATAAATAAAACAAAATATCAAAAATAATACATCAATCAGTCAAGTTGTTAAAAACCCATGAATACAGATGCATTTTGAGCAGTGATCTAAAAACAGTCTGGTTCGGAGCAGATCTAATCTCCCATGGCAGACCATTCCACAGTATAGGAGCCCAAACTGAAAAAGCTCAGTCTCCCCAATGTTTCAGTCTGGACTTCGGTACTTTCAGGAACAACTGATTAGAAGACCTAAGTGTCCTTTCAGGAGCATAAAAACACACAAGCTCAGATATACGAAGGTGCCAGACCATGTACAGTCTTATAGGCAAACATCAACAATTTAAAATCAATCCGAAAACAAACAGGAAGCCAATGTAGAGAGGCAAGGACTGGAGTTATATGCTCATGAGGCCGTGTATTAGTCAAAAGATAAGCTGCTGCATTTTGGACCAACTGTAGTCGGGACAATAAGGCTTGAGAAATGCCAGCACACAGTGCATTACAATAATCAAGTCTAGAGCTAATAAAGGCATGAATTGCCTTTTCAAAATCACTAAAAGAAATAAAGCATTTAACCTTAGCCAGAAGTCTCAACTGAAAGAAGCTGGCTTTAACCACAAACTTTATCTGTTCGTCCAGCTTAAGAGCACCATCAAATACCATCCTAAGATTCTTTACGAGGCCTCGGAGGCCAAAGAGTTAGGAATATCAAAATTACCAAAACCTGAGTTACCAATTAAAACACATTCGGTCTTACTTTCATTAATATGTAAGAAATGATCTGATATCCAAGCCTTAATGTCCCTCAGGCAATCCATCAAGGTCTGTAATGAGTTGCTCCTCTTGACATTCAATGGCAAATAAATTTGAATATCATCTGCATAACAGTGAAAAGACAACCCATATTTCATAAAAATAGATCCTAGGGGAAGTAAATACAAAGAAAAGAGGACTGGCCCAAGGATGGATCCCTGAGGAACAACAGAGGAAGAGAACTCATCAATGTGTACAGAAAAACTCCCATCAGACAAATATGATTCAAACCATTTAAGAACAACACCATGAAGTCCTACAAACTGCTGCAGATGGGACAATAAAATACAATGGTCTACTGTGTCAAAAGCAGCTGAAAGGTCTAAGAGAATCAAAATAGCAGTATTTCCTTCATCCACATTCAACAAAAGATCATTAAATACCCACAACAGCTTTGATTTGGTACTATGGTGTGTCTGAAAACCAGACTGGAACTTTTCGAATATCCCATTTTTGTCTTTAAAAAAAATAAAATAAAATAAAAAATAAAAAAAAGTCTGTAACAGTATAAAAACTGTTTTCTCTAAAATCTTAGACAAAAATGGTTAGAAACTAAGAAAACTGGTCTAAAATTCGATAACACAGTACTATCAAGATTGGGTTTTTTAAGAATTGGTTGAACGGCTGCATGTTTAAGTGCCGTTGGGACAATCCCAGAAACCAAAGAGCCATTAATAAGATTGACAATGTCCAAACCAATACTATGAAAAACCTCTTTAAATCAGAGCTGCCGCCATAATGTCCAAAGGACAATGAGAAGGTTTCAAATGCTGAACTACTTTCATAAGAGCAGTTAATGAAATAGGCTCAATCTGGTCAAAAACAGATGAGCATATAGGAGCAACAGAAGGATCCAGAACAGAATCATCAATCTGGGACCTGATCATAACAATTTTAAAACTGAAGAAACTCAGTACAAGTAACAGAGGACACATCCGTCCAAGCAGCAGTGGATGGATATAAGACTGCATTTATGGTGCTGAACAACACCCTGGGTTTATGACAATTATTCACAATAAGACTGGAAAAATATTGACATCTAGCAATTTCGACAACACTTTGATAATCTCTTAATCATTTTTTTTTAATGTTCAGCAAAATGTGAAGATGATCTTTTTTCCACTTCCGCTCAGCCCGCCTACATAATGATCTAAGTGAACGGGTGTTTTCATTTAGCCAAGGTTCCAACTTAATTCTGGCTCATTTATTCCTAAACAGAACACACAAGTCAAGAATATCAGTGCATGTAGAGCTAAACCAAAATAATAGTTCCTACAGTTTCATGACCAACATCCAGTAAAATATGAGGCTGTAAGTCATTATAGGCAGAGGAAAATAATTCAGCTGTCTTGGGAGTAATCAAGCAGCGTCACAGGGCAGGCATACTAGAAGTATTTATAGAATAAGAAATTATAGCAACGAATAAAACAGGCAAATGATCAGAAATCCCCACATCACAAATATCAGTCAAGCAGACAGGGACACCACTCGAAAGCACCAAATCAAGAGTATGGCCTTGAGCATGAGTAGGTCCATTTACAAACTGGGTTAAATTAAGAGTCAATATTGTTAATAAAAATGCATAACCACAGGGTCCATTGGGCAGCACACTTGAATATTAAAATCTCCAAAAACTGTCATATTTTGGCATAATTCCAGCAAGAAAGTTGGAGAAATCACAAAACAAATCCTCATTGAATTTAGGAGGGTGATAAACTGCCACACACAAAATAGGGCAGCTCACCTTTATCACAAACAGCTGCATTTCAAAGCTGGA